CACACGGCTGTGATATGAAGGTGCAGACCCCTCCCAGCTCCTACACGCTGGCAGCCAGGCCCTGCCTGCCTGAGACTGAAGGGGCAAACTGCCCTGCCCACCTGCCACGGGCCACAGCACCAGGTCTGGATGGGCCCAGGGTTGATCCCAACAATGCAGACATTTTTTGCCACTTCCGCCCTGGAACTCAGCTGGGGCTTTACCTTTCTACAATACTGCTTTTCCAAACAGTCATCTCTATTCTGGTGCTCAAGAGAAGGGGGGCCCTGAAGGGTGACAGGCTCATGGAACCCTTGGTCGTGCCTTTTCCCTTGCCGGTGGAGGTGTCACCTGCTCACCTGTTAATGAGCAGAGGCAGGAGGAAGTTCATGGAAGCAGGGCCCCTGCTCTGCCAGGCTGTGCACTGGCTGGCCTGTTTCCAGTAGGTCCTCCTCTCCCAGCTGCTCTCCTCCCTCTCTCCCTGTCCCAGAAGTGCTCTGTTTGGCACTGCCCCCCATGAATCGGCCCTCTAGCCCTGTCATCCAGGGGAAGTGATTGCCAGGTGCAGACGGAGAGGCTGTTGTCTGTCCTGGGTCCCAGCCTTCACCAGCCGGTGGAAAAGAGGACTGCCCGCCCCATGGGACAGGGCCCCGGGAGGGGGTCTAAAGAGCAGCCTGATGGCAGAGCAGGTGGGCGTGTTCCAGGCCAGATGGCTGGGTGAGGGCCAGCCAGACTAAGGGGGGACATTTATCCTGTAGGGTTCCTAGAGTTGTACTCTGCCCCCCACGCTGTCATTACCCTCCCCAGATGTGAGGGAGGAATGCAGGTCCTTCCCTAGGAAGGCAGGGCTCACTTCTGCCTTTTATTCAGTGGGGAATGTCACAGTTGCAGCTGGTGCCCCAAGCCCACCACGCCTGGGCACTCGGGCAGTGTCCAGCCTGCTACCAGGGCTCCTGGTGTCTGGCCTGATGGTAGCTCCTCTCTTTTGGACCCTGGCTGCCAGGCTCTGGTGCCACTTCTCAAAGGCCTGGAATTGGGGAGGGCGAGGAAAGGCTGTTGGTCTCGGGCTCCCTCCAGGGTCTGTGCTGTCCTGCCAGAGTAACAGCTGTGCCTAGTTTCTCTGTCTCTGGGGTGGGGTGGGGGTCAGAGTACACGGCCAGCCAGCCCGTCCTCAGGCCAGATGCTTAGGCTCAGAATAGATGTGGCTTGTGATGTGAGACGCTGTGCTGAATAGAGCTAAATGGACAGGGATCCAGACTCCACGTGGGCTGGTGTGAGCCACGGCTTTTCCACAGACCAAGAAAGCCTTGTCCTTCCCAAACTGGGTGACCGAGGTGGGCCTGGGCGGAGCTCATGGCCACCGTCGAATCAAGGGCCCCCCCATCATTACCCCCCGAAAATGAAGGGGCCCCTTGGGGGTGGTGAGCAGGGAGGTCCTCCAGCTCAGCAGTGACCAGATGTGGCACTGGTTTTGGACAAGCTGGCTGGGTAGAGTACAGGGGTCTACCCTGCCAGTACCTGGTAAAGGGCCCAGCTGTCTTCACGCTGCTGTAACACCGG